CGGGAATTATCCCCCCCCCTCCTGGAAAAGTGGGAAGGAAGGAAGGCCCACCAGCAGACAGCTGGGTGGGAAGATGCTCCCAGTGGGCTCAGCCTACCGGGGGTGGTGATGGTGGTGGTAAGGAAGGACACGCTCCCCCCCTGCCCGCCCGCCCACCTTTCATGCCCGTTCTCTTGTTTCCCCCCTCCACACAGTCTTCCGGGCCCGGATCCTGTCCAAGCAGCTTGTGGGCCAGGAGACGCGCTACGACCTGCAGGTGAGGGAGGCGTACCGCAACCGCGTGGCCCTGCGCCACCGGGAGTACCTCTGGGTGGCCGACACCTGTGACTGCCCCCCGCTGACCGAGCGGCGCGAATACGTCCTCATGGCTCGCCAGCACGTCAACTTTGAGCACACCCGCAATCGGCTCCTGCTGCCCCGGGGCGCCTACGCCCGGCCCTGGTCCCCCCGGGAGGACCTGCAGCTGCGGGACGCGGCCCAGCGCTGTGGGGGGTTGGAGGAGGCCTGGAGGAGCCCTCGGGGCCCGGGGCCCCTTCGCAGGGAGGGCGGGGGACCGGCCGGCTGACCTCCCCTGCACCCACCCACAGACGGACGGCTGCGGAGATGGACGGTGGCTCGAGGGGGGGGGGCGTGCATCTCGATGACATGCTCCAGATGAGAACCGGGCAGGCCAAAGGGGTGGCTTTCCTCGGTGTGGCCAAAGCATCTAGGCCACGTTTTCCTGCCCGGGCCGGTGTTCATTGTCCTCGTGTATGTGTGTGCATTGGGGGGTGTCCCTATCGTAGAAAGCGTGAGACTTTCTCCTGCTCTCATGCACAGGATCAATTCCCCCCCCCCGGGAGTCTCTGAAGGGCCCTCGAGAGTCCGTCTAGTAGTCTAAGCCACCTTTGCCAGGGCGCGAAAGGAATGGCTCACACCACCCCTGCCAGGTGGACCGCCCAGACCCCTGCTTAGAAGCCTCCTTTGGCGGAAGGAGCATCAGCCATGTCCGGAAGCCGTTCCTTCCTTTGAATCAGCATCCTTAACCCTGCTGTTCTTGACCTTTGGGGATGCCCTCATTATCCTTCCTCCTATACTCCTTTCCCCCATCCTTTAGTATTTAGGGGATGCCTTGAGGGTGAATTTAAAGGCACCGGAGGCCCGTGGGCGGCTTAAAGCCCCCCCCATCCTCCCCCTACAAGCACACGGCTGCATAATGGGTAAATGTAAAGCACACACACACACACACGCTACACACCTTTCTCTTACATGCACACAGACACCGAGGTGTGCGTTTGCCCCTCTCTGGGTGGGCGGTTACAGGAGAAACCCAGGTGCTCCCCCCCCTTCCCCGGCTGGCCGGGCAGCCTTGGCCACCTCTGCCCAAGGGCCACGGGTGTCGGTGGCCCCTGGCCAAGCACAGGGTTTGACCCCCCCTCCCCAAGGCTGCTCTTCCCAGGCTGCCTCTCAAAGAGCCAAGCCTGACGTCAGGTGGGGGGCAGAGCAGGGGAAATCTCCTGCGCCTGGTCTGGATCCGTTCCCCTCAAAACCCGAGTGCCCCTTGACCTTCTGGCCCCACTGCCTGGCTGTCTCCCAGCTTCTCTCCGGGGAGGGAGAGGAGCTGCCCCTGGTCACAGTGGAGGAGGCTGGTGGAACGGAGGGGGGGCCCTTCCCGGCCCGCCTAGCCCAGCCGTCAGCAAATGATAGTTTCGGGGTCGGTTGGGCTCCCCACGACGAAAAGACCCCCTGCGGCTGTGGCGTCTTTGCTTCCCGGGCGGACGGCTTTTTCTCTGCGGCTGGTTCTCGGCATGGAAGTGAGAAAGGGGGGGATGCCTTCCAGTTGAGCAAGGGCTCCTTGTGCCCCCTCCCCCGGTGTCCTGGCTTCGGATTCTGGATCGTCTGGAGGGTGGCCTGGTGAAGCCAGGTTCCTCCCTTTTCATCTTTTGAACCCAGCTCCTCCCGGAAGAAGGGGGATGGGGGCCCTGTAACTCTAGCCACCTCTCCTGACTTGAAACCGGCTCCCGCTTCCTGCGGCTCTCCGTAGGAAGAGCTGAGCCCCCACCTGGATGTGGCCCAGTCCTTTCTGCCTTCTCCCCCCGCCCCGCCCCGCTCCTGGACCTCAACACTTCTCATGGAAGGTTTCTTCCCACCTCAAGACGTTGACTACTTTGCGCCAGTCTTTCTTTTCTTTTTCTGCATTTATGAGCATGAACAACAACACAAACACAAGCCGGCAAATGGGTGGAAAAAGGGAGGCAGCTACAGAGCAGAAGTGTTTTCAGGGAATCCCACCCTTCTGGCTCTGGGCAGGGCCAGGGGGAAGCCTAGAAGCGCTTCCATCTGGGCCAAATCCTGCCAAGAAGCATGGGGTGAAAACCAGGAGAGGCCGGGCGGAGGGGGGCCGCTTTGGGCATTTCTGCAGCCACTACATTTGAAATAATAGGACTTTCAAAAACCGAGAGAAATGTGCATTCTTAACCGGGGTAGAAGTCAGGCAGGAGGGCTTACCGGCCAGGAAGGCTGTTGGGAAAACAGTGGCAGTCTACCTCAAAGACATCGCTGTTTCAGTGGGGTGGGCTGGCCAAACGCAAGAAAAATGGCTCCTGCCAAGGCAGTGGGGAGGGGGGGCTCTCGCCCTTGCTCGGCTCCGGCACCCTCTGGCGCTGGCCTGCCTTTTCCCAGAGACCCGGCTGACTCGGCTCCATGGACACCTCCACAGCAGGAGGTTGAGATTCGGGGCCGGTGGGGGTGCAAGAAACCTCAGAGGATGGCAAGGAGGACCACCCTGGAGAAATATGCAGGCCTGTGAGGTCCACGGAGGCCCTGCCCCTGTGGGGCCCATGGAGGCACCTGAGGGAGGACAGGAGATGGGCGGTGGGAGGGGGTACCCCTCTGGATCTTTGGGGGGGCAGAGGGCCTGTCCTCCACCTGGCGTCCACAAATGCCAGGCTGCTGAGAAGGGACTGGCGGGACTTTCTCTCCTGGCACCTCGGCAGAAGGGGACCCACAATCTGGGCCCTAAGGTCACCCAGTCCTGCCTTCACCTGTGAGAAGGAAATTCTAGGTAAACTGTCCCTGGAGGTGGAGGTTCTCTGTAGGCATTGTAAGCAGAGGGACAACCTGGTGTAGGTGGTGTGTGTGTGTGGGGGGGCTATGAACTCAAACCCACCAGGAATTTTGTCCCTAGGACCTTGGGCTGCTGAGGGGGGGGGAGGAGTTGGAGTTGGAGTAAATGAAAAGCAAAAGGGGCTGGGGGGGCAGGGCAGGCTTCATGGTTGGGGGCAGCCCCCAAGAGCAACCTGTTCAGAGACACCTCGACTGCCCTCCACTGGATGGCCATGCTGGTTTTTAGAGTCCTGCAAGCGCCAGGGCTAAAAATATCGCCGCACCCCAGGGCTGCCGAGCCTTGCTCTCTGTATGTATTTGCGTGCGTGTGTGTATGAGTGGGGGAGGAGGTGGGTCCCTCCTTCCCACCCAGGCTGGAGCGGATGGAGGCAAAGAGGCGCCGGCCGGCCAGCCGAGGAGACTCCCCACCAGGGGCCTCTGCTTTGCTAGTGGGAGGAAGGCCAGCCCTCCTGGCTAACGGCAGCCCATGGGAGAGCACGAGTCTCGTGGACTGAGGTTTTTCAGGGGGCAGCCTCTTGCCTGCTGCCTCCAAGGGCCCCCAAGAGCTGGCCCCACTGGGGCCACCTTCTGGCCTGCCCCCTCCTCCAGGGGGCCCTCGGCCCTGTCTTCGTTGCCAACTCCCTGGGGGCTTCTTGCAGCCAGAGTTCGGTGTTGGAAGAGGCTACCTGAGGGGCCACATAGGCCCCAAATCTCACCAGCCTGCTGTGGCCCACCCGGGATTCCCTGCCAAATGGCTCTGAGGGGCCAGGGCCCCCCAGCGGCTGCTTCGCCCACAGCCAGAGCGGCTACTGGCAGACCGGGGTTTGTCTTTGTCAGGCACCGAGAGGCCTTCCACCACCCCCCGACCCCCAGGGGACTCTCCCAGGAGCCCAGACGGTGCTCCCAACTGTGGGTCGGGTTCCACTGGGAGTCTCCCACCACCACTTCTTCAACCTCGCCACGTCCAGCTGGAGGAACTGGGACGTCATCCACCCTTATGGGGGCCTGGAAGTCCTCTGGAGACCTTTGCTAGCCCCCCCCCTACATCTACGCTGGTGGCTGGGGGGTGAGGCACAGGAGGCCGGCCCTTCTCCGAGCAGCCGAGCTCCAGAAATGGAAGGAGAGTGCCATGGGTCTCTGCCAGGGAAGAGCTGTTTTCCAATGGCAACTTCTGTCTGGCCATCAGGAACACCGTCCAGGGGGGCCACATCACCCAGAAGCTCTGGCTGAAGGCCACGTTGGCCAGGGCCACCGTCCTGGGACGGCCATGGGAGAACTACGGATGCGATTTGCACCCCAGAGGCCTATGTCCACGTTGCCGCCTTCCCCATGGGGCGAGAGCTGGCCCGGTGCTTACAAAAATCAGATGGGAACCTGACGCAAGAGCAGAGCCACGTTTGGTGGTGCACGTGGCCGAGGCCTGTGGCCAACCATCCGGAGAATCCATCCGCAGTGCCAAGCCTTGCTGGGCCTTCCAAGAAAAGGCAGGCCAGCCCCACACGGTGCCAGCACTGAGCAAGGGGTTCAAGTGAGAGAGGGGTGCACCCACCACACGGGTGTACCTCTTCCCAAAGAGGAAAACCTCCTCCTCTTCATGGAAGGGTTTTGAAGTCATCGCCCACGTCCCTTCTTTTCCGGAGGGCTCCTCCCACTGTCACTGTCCTCTGGAGAGCAGACCTTCCCTCTTCAGGAACTGAGCACCCCACGGGCCCTCGTGGAGGGGCAGGAGTGGAGCCATGGGGCAGCGCACCTTCCCCCCTGCCCTCCAAAAGTGGGGCACTCGCCCCCACAGTCTAGGGGGGAGGGAAAGGGTCCCCCCTCCGAATGCTGAGTGGTGGCAGGTGGTGGCGGCAAATCGTATCCTCTCGCCCAAGGTGGGAAGGAACAAGGAGTATCTCGGGTCCTTCCTTCACCCCCAGGTGTCGAACCGCCGGATGGCAGCGGTGGCGTGGATGGGCAGCGGGCAGGGGATCCTGGGGTCCAGCTCCTGGCAGAGGTCCAGGAAGGGGTCGAGGAGGACCATGTTGGGCAGGGCCGCGTTCCCTTGCCGCTGGGCCAGCAGGTAGATCCGCCCATTGACCGTGCTGCAGCCCTTGAAGAAGTGGCCGGCCAGGCGTTCCTCCTCCACCGGGGTCCACTCGCCCGTGGCCACATCGAAGCGGAAGGCACCCCCACCGACTGTGTAGAGGGCCCCATGGAGAGCCGCCACGCAGAGGTCGTACCTGGGGGCAGGAAGGCGAGCGCTGAGAGGGAAGCCCCACTGTTGGACACCCCCCCCCCGGGAGGGTCCAGCTGGCTCCCCTGCTCCTGCCAACCCCCCGCCCCAGGCACTTTCCCCAAAGCACTGTTTGTTTCGTGTTGCAAAACTGGGCGTAACGGGCGGAGGGGTTTGGGTTTTTTTCCCTGGCTTTTTGCGAAAGACGAGGTGGAGAGTACGCTTGACTTACAGTTTTGCTCACGGACTCTTGCCTCTCAACTTGGCTTGTAGACACGCTTCTGTCTCGCACTTCGGTCGGATCGAAGAGCGCATTTAAAAGATGTATGCTTGATGGCAACACCCTTTCCAACGCGCCCGAGGAAGTGCTGCGGGGGCACTGGACTGAATACAGTGGGTTTTTTTGTGCACCTCCTGGGTTTTCTTGTTGGACTTTACTGGTTTGGGGCTCTGCCGTCCTCCCCCCCTCGGGTCCCTTTTGTCCCCCCCCGGTTCTCGCCACGGGCAATGGGCTGGGTAGAGCTGAAGGGGGTTGACAGCCGCCCTCTGCCCGCATTTGGGCTTTCTGCCCCCCCCCGTCTCCAGAAGGATACCCTCACCCAACAAGCCTCACCGTGGAAGGGGCGAGAAGGAAACCACATCCCACATGTCCGTCTCCACATTCAGCCGCTGAACGGCACGGCAGACATCCCCGTTCTCGTCCAGGCCGCAGACCACGTACACCCGGGTCCCCAGGCTGACGGCTCCGGCCCGCTCCACAGGGTGCACAAGGGGGCTGGTGCTCTGCCAGGCGGAGTCAGCAGGGGCCAGGCGCTCCACGTCCGGGGTTATGCCCCCTTCCTCGGTGCTGCCCCCAAGGACGTAGACGTGGAAGCCCACCCCCACGGCACAGTGGCTGTTGCGGGCTTTCTTCATGGCTGGCCCTTCCAGCCAACTGTTGTCCCAGGAGTTGTAGATCAAGACCGAGTCCACCGTGGACCAGAAAAACTCCTCGCGGAAGTAGCCGCCGGTCACAAAGAGGAGGTTGCCTGCAAGAGAGAAGAGGGAGGGGGCGTCTCACCCAGGGGCCAGCCCTGCTCTCTCTCTCTCTCCCCAACCCGGGAGCCTTGTTCCTTGGGTGGGAAAGGGTCTGTTTTACACCTTGAGGAGCCTCGGCTGCCTCTCCCTCGAGCGGGCTAAATCTTGGAAGGGTTTCAACAGCAGCCCCAAGGCAACCCAAGGGCTGACCTTTGGGGCCCTGAGGCTTCCTGCGGACCTGCCCTCCTGAAAGTGGTGGGTGTTTCCAAGCAGGCTGCAGCTGTACGATGATAATGCAGCCACAATAGCGGCATCTCGGGGCATCTTGAAGAGCAGGACGTTCGTTGGGCACACCCTCCCACAAGCTTCCACCCGCTTCGTCCTGCGCACAGAGCCATTTCAGCAGGGGAGAAAGAGCAGCGGGGTGGGTTTGCGCTCTGTGGTCCGAAAGACGTGGGCAGCAGTCCCCAGAGACCAGCGTGGCAGGAGGACCTGGAGGGTCCACAAGAGGCTATGGGCCCCCACGGGCCCCGAGGGTCCCACCCAGCCCCTGTAATGAGTGGGTAGCCAGCGAGCCGGCCACTGAGGGTCACCTGTTTGGGAGCTTGTGGGGCATAGACATGGTTGGCAGCTCCTGGGGAGGGTGGCCCCCTGACCCCCCCCACCTGGAAGGGGTAGCATTACCTACGACAGCCACGGCATACTGGGTGAGGTTTTTGCGCTTGAGGGGTGAGCAGGCCTGCCAGGTACCGCTCTTGGGTTGGAACTGGAGGAGCTCCTGCTGCTCCCGGTCGTGCGGCCCAGCAAGCACGTACAGCGCTTCATAACTCCGGCCCGTGCAGGGCGAGTCAGCCACATGCCTCCAGTTGGGTGGCGGACAGTGGTCCAGCTTCTTCACCAGCTGGACAGCGAAGTCCTGCCCAGGCCCCTTGCTCTGTTTGACAAGCAGGTCCAGGAAGGAGAGGGTGAGGAAGGGCACCCGGATCAGGGCCGCCAGCTCCAGGAAATCCCCTTCTCGGGCCCCCGGATCGGCAGCCACCCACTGTGCCACTGACTCGAAGACGGCGTCCTCCCGGGCCACAAAGAGCTCGTCGCTCGCCAGGAGGGTGAGCAGCGTTTCCTTGGGCAGCTCCAGGAACTCTTCCTGGGCCACCAGCTCGGCCCAGTGGGTGAGCGCCCCATGGAGGGCGGCCGAGCCGAGCTCCCCACAGGCGAACTGCTGGGCGTAGGCCAGCAGGCCGAGGCAGTTGGAGACGTGCAGCTCGCGCTTTAGAAAGGTCTCGCAGTGCCGCTTGGCACTCTCCAGCCGGAGAAAGTCCGCCGTTTCCAGCAGAGCCGCCACGTTGAGAGAGGAGAGCGAGAGGAGGCCAGTCCGGGTGAAATCCAGGAGGGCCCGGAACGGTTCCGCCTTCAGCCCCTGGAGGCGGATATGCCGCTGGGTGCGCTCCCGGGTACCCCCAAAGAACATGGCCTCGAAGTACGGGCTCTGGCGGGCCAGGGCCCACCTGTTGACGGGGAAACATGTCCCACCGACCTCCAGGATGGCATCCGTCTCTTCCGGGGCGGCCTCCTGGGCCTTTTCCTTAGGGCTGCCCATGCGAGCACCGTCGAAAGAGCAGGCCAGACTTGGATTCCACCCTGCCCGGTGCTGCCAGGCTCTCGGTTCTCAGGAAGGCCTCGGTGGCGTGGCTGGTTGGCGACAGCCTGGAACCGATCTGGATATGTATCTGGTCCTAAAAATAGCACCCCTGCTGCACTCTCTGCCTGAGTGCTTTCAATCCCCCCCCCCATCAGCTATGCCTGTTGTGGCTGGCCAGCTGCAACGGAGATGCTGAAAAGGTCAGCTATTCCCCTCCTTTCTTCCTTCTGCCCACCCAGGAGGCTCGTCTGCTCTCAACACAGGACGGAGAGGCCTGGCTCTGTTCCTCCACACACAAGACATGCGTGAAGTGGGAACCTCAAAGTCCCATGAAAGGTGCTTGCTTTTTTAAAAGACAGGATTCTTTAGCTCACTAAACTTAGCTGCACTCAGCTAACTAGCATATCAGGAAAAAACACATATGTGCCACTTTGAAGCTCAACCAAACAAGATACAAACCTGGATGGCTTAAGCTGCTCAGATAAACAGACAACCCTGCAACTTTTCCTATCTTGCTACCCCTGGACTTCCAGTAGTACAAAATTCTTCCTTCCTGGCATGCGTGCTCACTCTAGGCAGTGAATTTCTTGTCTAGTGACATTCTTCCAGTTTTGGGCACTGGGTGGTGACGCTGGCCAGGGGTCTGGGAACAGGAGGATAAAATGGCAGGAGGACCAAACTTGGAGAGCCACCTGGTCGAGGGCACAGACAGCGGTAAATCATGTACGATTTTACAAGACAAGCAAAGAGGTCGGCCTCTTGAATGAAGAGGCTTTGAAGCAAAATAGCAGCAGGTGGAGGTGACCTTCGCCTGTGCTACTGGATGCCAGACTTTTCCTCTGAATGAACAAAGGATTTTTAAAAATCAGGACTCACAAGTAATATATATGAGGTGCTTATAACTAGCACTATGTTGATGCAAATCCAAAGTGCCAACTGACCAGTTCATTTTACAGCTCAAATTATGACAGCCAGTGCTTGTTTTGGACAACTTTTATTATGCAGTGGGCTCTCTGGGTGAGAGAATGTTACCACTTTGAGCTAAGAATTCTGTATAACCCTCATCAACACGCCCAGCGCTTTGAGCAGTGGTGTAAAAAATAAAAATAAAAAATAAAGAGGCTGCAGGTCCAGCTTCTGCCCACCCCGGCTTCGAAGACAGAATATGTACTGGGCAAAAACAGAAAAGAAAACTGAAACCTTGGAGAGATAACAGAACTGTATAAAAAACCACACATTTTTTATCCAGTAGGGGAAAAAAAGACCAATAATCGTCACAAGTCTCTTACTTTGGTGCATCTCATCATAATGCTTCCCATTATTTCACTGGCTCCAAACTCTGATCAGAAGCGAGAGGGATTAATAACAGCGAGAGGTAACTTTCAGAAAAAAAGGTTCAGGACCCCTCTCAATTGCAAACTGCCCTCTTTCAATGGCTGCCAGACTACAAAGGAAATAACCTAAATTGAACGCAGCCTTTCCTTGTTATGAAACAAACATTAAAAAAAATCCCCTGCAGAATGGGGGTTCCTTTCCAGTCCTCTGTAGTTTTCAACAGTAGCCCATTAAAAAATAATGCTAGCCATCTTGCTGCTGTACAAAAGGGTTTGGTATCGCTTCCATTCCATCCTGGGGGCAGATCAGAACTACGGAGGTGCCTCTGCAGACCACTAGTCCCAGCTGGCGGGTATCTTCTGTGAGCTTGTACTGGTCATCTGGATCTAAAGCAAACAAACAAAAAAGCACACACATACAGAGATTAGTCTGCTGACTTGTGGTGTAATTCAGGCCAGCTTCTGGTGACAGAAAGAAACCAAAGGCCAACCGATACACACACACACACCCCATCCTCCTGTCAGCCTCTGATTGTTTTAAACCATCAACATCTGAAAGAGATGCAAGAGACATTCCTGAACAAGGCAAATGCCTGCCATGGTGGCCGGAGCAAGCGGGCCAACGGGGAATCTCTGCTCTGTACCTCAGACTCACCTCTCATGTACTCAATGGTGCCGTCCAGTACCAGATTCAGAAGAGGGTCAAATCCTTTCAAAACACCGCTGGCTGTTTTTTTTTTTTTGGGGGGGGGAAACACCAGGAAATATATTAAGAAGTTTCCGGGAGCAGGTCGAGGCCAAATAATAATAATAATAACAATAATAATAAGGGGGCAAGGAGGAGATGGAGAGGGGAAGGGAGACCCAAATCCAAGGGAAGGGAAAGGGGGAGGAGAGAAATGGAGCAGAAGCCAAGGGAAGGCAGGAGGGAAAAAAGAGGGGGGGGGGCTCTTGCCTTCGCGTCCACCCTGGAACTTGACGCGGATGGTCTTGTCGATATACTTGGAGAGATCCAAGATGCTCTCCTTCTTCTTCTTCTCTTTCTCCTGCAAGGCAAGCAGGGAAAGGCTTGAAAACCGGGCGGGGAAAGGGAGGGAAGGAGGGCCCTGTTGTGAAGGCAGCGGCTCAGGCTCCGGGGCGGAGACCGCTCCCCCCCCACGCCGGCCCCCCTCCCTCTGCGGCCCTTCGGCTCCGACCCCCACCAACACATCCCCAGCCCTCTCCACCATCTGGGCATTCTCCCTACTCACCCTTCTGGCTTTTGGGGGGGGGGCTTCGCTCCTCTGGAGCCCTGGACGGTTTCCCGCCCTCCCCCCAATACACTCTCGAGATCAAGGCGGGGGCGCCCTGCCCTGCTCCTCCCCCGCAGCCACCACCACCTTCCCCCAGGCAGCCCCCCCTTCCTTTCTCTTCCCCAGGAAACCCCTCGAGGCGGAGGCCAGCAGGGGAAACCACCGGCCTCCTGGCCAGATATCTGCAGGGCCGGGCCTCCGCCTCCTCTTCCCCCCTCCCGTCGTCCCCACCCTTCGGCGGCCCCTCGTTTGACTCACCGCCATCTTGCTCTCCACAGGCATCCTGCCCTCGGCCCCCTCGCCCTCTCACTGTCACTCGCCCGCGATTTCCGCGGTGCCCTTCCGGCCGCTTCTCCCAATCAGGACAGAATGTTTGCCCTCCGGCCCCGCCCCTTCCTCGGAGACTCCGTCGCAGCCCCTGTGGCTCTCTAGGCTCTTTGCTCTCTGTGTCCTGGCCGAGAAAGAGGAGGAAAGGCCTGGCGGGAACGGAGGCTTCCGGGTCGTGTTGCCCGGTAACCAACCTTCACTTCCGTTCTGGACCGGAAGTAGGCCTGCTCTTCCCCCCCTCTTTCTTTCCCCGCCTGTCCCTGTTCCCGGCTTCCCCTCCGGAGGAGGACAATAGGCGGCGATGGCGGCCGCTCCGGCTCCTTCCTCCGGGCGGCGGGTCTTGCCGGGTTTGCGGGCGCTCGTCCTCCTCCTCCTCCTGCCATGGGTCTCTCAGGTGAGGAAGACCCGGGGGTGGCGATGGGCTACTGTCCTCCTTCGGGTCCGCAGTGGGGGGGCGAGGAGGAGGGGCTTTCTCGCTTTCTTCGCTCCCCCCCCCCCGCTGACCCTCAGACGTCCCGGGAGGGAAGGAAGGGCGGCCTCATCTTGAGCCCCCCGTCCTCCCCCCACTCTTCTTCCCCCTCGAGTGGGTCCAGCCAGTCCCGGGGGGGAGGCCTGTGTTCGCGGGGGGCCCCCGAGGGAGACACGCCGTCCCCCCAGCCCCCCTCTTCCTCCTGCTTGCCCCCCTCCCCGAGTCCTTTGGGGGGCCGGGGGGGGCGGCGACGAAGACCCTTCCAGGCCCCTCTACAAAGCAGGGTGGATGGGTTAATTTATTTTTTGCTGGGTGTGTGGCTTCGGGGGGGCATCCCCAGCAGCCCCCCCCCTCTGCCCCTCCTTCCAGGCGTGTCGCTGTCCTGAGGGCTTTGGGAGAAGAGGGGGAGGAGGGCGACCTGACCTGGAGGCTGCATGGGGGGGGAGAGAGAAAGGAGGAGGAAGCAATCTCTCACCCCCCCAACTGTGTTCCTCTGTGCTGCCTCCTCTGTGTGTGTGTGTGTGCGTGTGCGTGCGTGCGCATGTGCAACGTGTCCAGGTGTCCGGCGAGTACGGGATAGCTCGCGTGTTCTCCGAGAAAGGGAGGGCCCCAGGGAAGGACTACTGCATCCTTTTCAACTCCCAGTGGGCTCACCTGCCCCACGACCTGGGCAAAGCGGTGAGTGGTGGGTGCCAAGGAGGCTCCCTGGGGGGGCACAATCTCCCTCCGCTCCTCCCTCCCTCCCTCTGGCTGCTGGGCTTCCTCTGTCTTTAATCTCCTACCTCCCTCCCCCCTCCTCCTCCAGTCTCTCTTGCAGCTGCAGGACCAAACCGTGTCCGTCTTGTGCGCGCCCTCTGACGTGCCGGACGGGGGCTTCGGCAACAGCATCCCCATGGTCATGCGAGGGAACTGCACGTTCTACGAGAAAGTCCGCCTGGCCCAGATCAATGGCGCTCGGGGGCTGCTGATTGTCAGCCGGGAGAAGCTGGTGAGTCTCTAGCAGGGCCGTGGGTGCCTGTGTGGATGGGTCTCGATCTCTAAACTAAGGGGTGGGGGTGGGTGGGAGGCTCTCCCATGCAGCCCTTTCTGCCTGTTCTTTCCTTTCCGCAGGAAAAAAAAGATTTTCCTTTTGGCAGTATGATAGTGACAAAGCGACCCTTGGGACGGACTTGCATGTTCTCTGACCAGCTCCCCCTCAAAGGGGGAAGGCTGTCTGTCTCTGGCGTTCTTGCTAGAGGTGCCTCTAAAGCAGCGGGAAAGAGAGGGGAGCTTGTCACTTAGACTGCCAGGTTTTGGGTTTGGGCAGGTGATCACGCCACGTGTGCCTGGAAAATGGGATCATCCTCCTCTGTTTGTTTCCTGGGCAGGTTCCCCCAGCTGGTAACCGGAGCCAGTATGAGGAGATCGACATTCCCGTGGCTCTCCTGAGCTACTCGGACATGCTGGACATTGGCAGGGTGAGCCCCATGGCTTATGCCTGGTTTGTGTGCTGGAGGGTCCCGGGTTCCATCAGAACGCAGAAGGCGGCCGGCTTTTGCGGCCATGGAGCGTCAGGGTGGCCGCTCAGATGCCATGTACGGTCCGGCGAGCCGGTCCGGGCTACGCCAGGCAGCGATCGGTCTTTGTTCAAAGCGGTTTCGACTCTCTCTGTTATTCAGAGCCCTGCTTTTTAAGAAAATAAAAACTGCCTGGTTCAGCAGCAAATCTTCCTTTAGATAAGAAACAATCAATGTTTTATAGCACAAGCGATTAACTCTTTGTTCCTTGGTGGGTTGGAATGGGGTGTGCTTGTGATTCAGAAACACCAATGGTGGTTTGTGCCCTGGGATTGTCTTTTTTTTTTTTGCGAAGGGATGGCATCCATTCTGAGGGCCGGGTGCAGGTGCTTCCCGTGCTGGAGTGAGCCTCTGGATCAGCACTGGAGCCATTCTCGTTGCCCAGAAGGCACGTTCTGTAGTGTTGTGGCATTTTGTGGAGATTGGCTTAACCCTTTCTTTTCCGTCCTTCCTTCCCCGCCATTGCTTTTCTGCACTCCCACTGTCTCTCTAGAGCTTTGGCCCATCTGTCAAAGTGGCGCTGTACGCCCCTAATGAGCCGGTCTTGGACTACAACATGGTGATCATCTTTCTGATGGCCGTGGGCACGGTGGCCCTGGGGGGCTACTGGGCTGGTAGCAGAGATGTGAAAAAGTAAGCGGGGTCCCCAGGGTGGCTGGCAACTGGGGTGGGGTGGGCGTCGGGGGCCGGAGGCTGAGTGACTAGAGAAGGAGCCGGTCTCTTTACACAGCCGCTTCTCAGAGTCCAGCCGTCTGCCTGGCTCTGCTCCGGATGGGTTTCTAGCTGTGTCCTCCCTGGAGCAAGAGTGCAGGACCGGCAGTGGGGGGGGGGCAGTTCCTTGGTGTGCTAGAGGTCCTGGCTTCAGTCAGAGTGCCGGAGAATGCCAGAGGCCTTTCTCCCTTTCAGGCGATACATGAAGCACAAGCGGGATGACGGAGGGGAGAAGCATGAGGACGAGACGGTCGACGTCACCCCCATCATGATCTGCGTCTTCGTGGTCATGTGTTGTTCGATGCTCGTCCTCCTCTATTACTTCTACGATCAGCTTGGTATGGGTCGCCGGGTGGCCTCCCGCAAAAAAGGGGCCCCCTTTCATTCTTTTGGGGTCCAGAGGGCTCAAGAATTCATCTTTCACCTCCTACTGACCTGTTCTGTTCTTTTCTCCTTTCTCTCCCCCCCCCAAGTGTACGCCATCATTGGTATCTTTTGCTTGGCGGCCTCCATCGGCCTCTACAGCTGCCTCTCCCCCTTTGTCCGGAGGCTCCCCATTGGCAAATGCAGGTAGGGAGGCGCATGGAGGGTGGCCCTTGTTTATTTGGCATGTGCCTCAAAAGGGCTGGAGGGCACAGGACTTGCAAAATGGGCAAGACCCAGAAGGAAAAGGTTGACCGAGTGAGCTCAGGTGGCTGGCAGGTGGCTGTAGGGGTCCCAGTCCCCCACCCTCTGTCCTCAGCCAGGCTTGGGAGGGTCCCAGCCGGGCCAAATCTTGGGCTCTCCAATCCCCACCGGTTCTGCCTCTAGTGGGTAGGGCTCAGTTCTCCTGTGGCCGCCGAGCTTTCCCACCTTTTGTACCAGAGAAGCTTCTGCCTGCAGAACAGAGGCTGCACCTGCTGAATGCCAGCCCTCCTGCTCGGGTAGCTTGGGCTGGCAGGGAAGGGGGTGGTGCTGATCAAGGCTGCCGCCCCCACTAATTACCTCTCCCCCCCCTTCCGTGTTCCTGGTTCCCTTGTCTTTGTTGCCTTTCAGGGTCCCAGATAACAACCTGCCCTACTTCCATAAGCGCCCCCAGGTCCGGATGCTGCTCCTGGCAGTCTTCTGCGTGGCTGTCAGCCTGGTCTGGGGGGTTTTCCGGAATGAGGACCAGTAAGTCAGGTGTTCTGTCTTCCCTTCCTCTCTCCAGTCCTGTGTTGCAGGGCGAAGCCGGTGGAGCTGACTGGGAGAGAAGGTGTGGGTGGATGGGTCGAGGGGGTCTGGCATTGCCCTGCTCTCCCCTTTACACCCGCTTGCTCTTCCCCCCCCCCCAGGTGGGCTTGGATCCTCCAGGATGCCCTGGGCATCGCCTTCTGCCTTTACATGCTGAAAACCATCCGCCTGCCCACTTTCAAGGTAGGAGCCATATTGGTGGAGGGGCAGGTGGAGGCTGGCGCTGGCCAGGCCAGCTGAGCTCTTCGGTGGGGGCCGCAAAGAGGGAGGGGCTCCACCCAAAGGGCTGCTGAGAAAGGGGATTGTGTGTGTGTGTGTGTGTCTGGCCTCTTGGAAGCCACCCTCGCAGAGCCTTGGCGCCTGCTTTGTCGCTCTCCTCTCTCCCTCTCCGCAGCCCTGTGAGGCGGGGCTGGGGGGGACGTCCGTGACAGGTCAGCAGGAGAGCTCTTGGGGGCACAAGGACTCCCGAGGATGGGCGGGCGGCCATCCTGGCTTGGAGGCAGAAGAGCCTGCTGGTCCTTCTCTGGGCCTCGGCTTCCCACCGGTCATCTGTCAGAAGCCAGTCCTTTCTGTCCTGGAGGGAGAGTCTCGGCGGGGGAAGGGGGGAGGGAGGCCAAGGCAGGCCGAGGGCCTCCTTCGGTTGAGGAGAGAGGCAGCGCCAAGGTTCCCTGAACCGCCGCATAGCGGGGTGCCCCAATGGTCTCCTCTCCTTGCGTGCCCCAGTCCCTCCCTTCTGTCTCCCCTCCTGTAGGGCTGCACGTTGCTCCTCCTCGTCCTCTTCGTCTACGACGTCTTCTTCGTTTTCGTGACCCCGTACCTGACCAAGGTGGGTGTGGAAGGCCGCCTGGGCCCCTGTGCGGAGCAGGGGTGCCGTTGGAGTGGGGTGGGCTTCTGTCCCTTTCTCACAGAGTTGTGGGAGTGTGTGGGGGTCAACCAGGAGGCACGGCGCGCTCCCTGACACGCCCCCGGGAGATGGGCCAGGGCAGGGCGGACCTTTCCGGGCCAGCAGCCCCCCCAGCAAGTGAGCCGCCCAACGTCTCCTGTCAGAGGGAGGGAGATGTGGGCACACCTGCTCCCTGGCTCCAGGAGATGGAGGGGGCCAGGGCATCGGAAGAGAAGTGGCTGGAAGGGAATTGGCGGAATAAACGAGCTGGGAGCGCCCCTCCTCGTGCCCTCATCCTTTGGCTCGTCTGTCTTTTCTCTTAGACGGGGGAGAGTATCATGGTGGAGGTGGCAGCTGGGCCCACCGACTCCGCCACGCATGAAAAGGTGGGTAGGAGCCCTTGGGGAGACCCGCCGGGGCCAGATCTTGCCAGCGGAGAGCAGCTCTGGGGCCAGGCTGGAAGCTGGGGGAAGAGGAGGAGGAGGGCAGGCGGGTGGGTGGGCAGGAAAGGATCAGGGGCCCTGGTCCGAGAGGGGCGGGAATCCAGACCAGGAAGTTTTCCTCTTGTGAGCGGAACTAGTGGCCACCCTCCTCCGTCCGAGCCGCTCCGGGGTCCTACCCTCCTCCTTTTCCCCCTGGTGAGGACATGAGCTTCCTTGTTCCTTTCCCCAGCTGCCGATGGTGCTGAAGGTCCCCCGGCTGAACTTCTCGCCCCTGGCGCTCTGCGACCGGCCGTTCTCGCTCTTGGGCTTCGGGGACATCCTGGTGCCAGGTGGGGCGCCTCCTGCTTTCCTCCCTTTCTCTGGCGGTGGCGGCAGCAGCCCCAGACTGACTTCAGGCTGGAGGGACCACCCTGGGGCCGATGTCTCTTCCGCCGCCCTCAGCTGACCTCTCCCTCTCCCCACAGGCCTCCTGGTTGCTTATTGCCACCGGTTCGACATCCAGGTCCAGTCTTCCCGGGTGTACTTTGTCACCTGCACGATCGGTACGTTCTCTCAGTCTGTGGGGGGAGCCGGATCCTGCCCACATAGAGCCCCCCCACCCTCAGCCGTCTGTGGCCCTTTTGCTTCCCCCCAGTGGAGGTCCCTGGGCCGCTCCGGCCTCTTCTCCCCCGCCACGGCTGCTTCCCAGGCCAGCATCTGCTCCAGACCTGGGAGGAAGGTTGGTGCCTTGTCTGCAGAGTGGGAGGGAGGCCTGACCCCCTCCGAGACCTCCTGCCAAGCCCCACACTGCTGGCCCTCCTGCTCTCCCCTCACTGGCTCTTGTGCTCTCCCTTCTGCTCCCCCCTGCAGCTTACGGCCTCGGCCTCCTGGTGACCTTTGTGGCCCTGGCCCTGATGCAGAAGGGCCAGCCGGCCCTGCTCTACCTCGTCCCCTGCACGCTGCTGGCCAGCTTCGTGGTGGCCCTCTGGCGCAAGGAGCTGGCCATGTTCTGGACCGGCAGTGGCTTTGCGGTGAATACCAGTTTGCTCTGAGTCTCCTCCAGAAAGGTCTCAGGTTAGACAAGGCCCCTAACTGGACTCCCAGTTGAGATTTCCGCTCGTGACGGCCTTCTCCCAAAGAGCCGAGGGAGCCTTGGCGCCCTTCTTTCCTCCTCTTTTTCTCGAGGGCTTCCTCTTTGGTCGTAGGAAACACTGTGCTTCTCTCTTTCTCTGAACAGCGGCTTTGGGCTTGTGGGACAGCAAAGGAAAGGAGTCTTTTGTAGGCGGGGGGGGGCTGGGTTCGAATCCCACTTCTGACACCAAATCAATGTGACAAACCCAGACCTACTGGGATATGTCACCCAGTTACACTAAGCTGCCACCAACCATTCCCTTTAAGAAGTCACACAGACCAGGGATGGATTTTTAAACAAATAAAGAATAAGGTTTATTTAAATACACACAGGGAAAAATAAAACAATCAGGTGAATAACATAANGACTGGGCTTTTTCTCCTCTGTGCAGAAAGACCTGCCTCACCCTCCTCTCGTCATTTCCCCTGTCAACTGCCCGGCCCCTCCAAAAGAAGCCGATTCCTTGGCTTCCCGGGCAGGCGCCAAGAACGCTGCCGTGGCCCCGCCGTCCCCCACCGAGGAGCCGCCTGAGGCCCTGCTCGATGCTGGGGAGCGTCCGGTCCCCTTCTCGGAGACGCTGGAGGAGGAAGAGGAGGACCCAGAGGAGGACGTGGCTGACCCCCACGAGCCGCCCTCGGGCCCCGAGGGTCCCTCCAGGCCGCCTACGGAAGAGCCGGCCCCTCCGGAGGATGTGGAGGCAGCCGGAAGGAAGAGCCCTCCGGCCGTGGCCCCCAGCCTGACGGACTAAGAGCCCCTCTGCCCCCTCCGACCCTTCTTCGCCTCCATCCCTTCCCCACCTCAGCTCCCTTCCTGCCCCTTTCTCTCCCCATCAGAGGAATGAAGGACTCATTGGCTCGCCACTGCGTTCCACCCCCCCGAGGGCCGTGTCCCCCATGTCCCCCTTTGCCGCCTTCTG